CGCTCTTCCTCCAAATCCCAAATATATTACTCCCAAGAGCCCCGGAATGCCCCAGGAAGCATTAGGTGCTACAGAGCACAAGTGGGGTGCATCTCCTACCTCCTCTCCTTGCATTCCGCCCCAGCAGGGTGTGGGCAAGTGGGAGTGAGAAATGGTTAAAAGCCACCGCAGCAGAGTGAAGTGAAGGAACAGCTGGAGCTCAGCCTGGAGCAGCCAGAGGAGGGAGAGCAGGGACCAGATCCTGTTTCCCAAGGGGTGGATGCTCCACGCGTTACCCTCTCCCTTGGGGCTGCCTCCTCGCCCCAGCAGATCGCAGCCTGGCAGGTTTCCCATGAGCAAGCAGAAGCTGTTCAAGCAATCGACATCAAGGGCTGGGCAGCGAAAGATGACATTTCTCACGCCCGTGACACTGCCTGTTTCCCCATCGCAGGACAGCAGGAGCTCGCTGTGTCTGGGGCTACAGACCACGCAGCGTGCTCTGCGCCGGGCTGTGCGCCGGGCTCGCTGCCGAGCAGAGCCCCAGCTCGCTTCGCTGAGAGCTTTGGCCTGAAGAAGCCCGCAGGATTAGACCCTCACTGAAGGCCTGAGTAATGTGCGATCTCAGAGTCTATAATGACTCACAAAGAGAAACAAATTACTGTAATTTAGGGTGTTTTGATTTCAATGCCAGAATTAGAACAATTCATTCCAGTTCAATTGAAAACAGAAGAGACACAGGGTAGGTTTTCATTTTGCAGGGTCTTTAAGCGTCTGCTCTGTTAACAGCAAGAATTTGCAATGAAAGTCACTGTTAGAAAAGCACTTAAAAACGCTTCCTGGGCCCATTCTTTTAGCCTGGTTTGCAGGAGATATACCCGTGTTATTTCAGAATATTGTGAGAACACAGAGTCTCCTCATTGCCAACCACCGGACCTTTTCCCTGCAGAGAGCTGGCATCTGGCTTTTCTGCAGGGGAATAAGCGAACAGATTAATACTGGGAAGAACAAGGCTGTCTGCATGCACAGGGCAGCACCACCCTTGCCTTATAGAGCTGTGGGGTTCTTGCCATAACTGAAGGAGAGATTTTATCTGCAAGAAATTTCTGTATCACCGTGTAACTGGTGAATACAATCAGTGTTTAACACACACTGAAGAAAATAATACACAATAATAATGTGGTGAGGATCATTTGAACTTTTTATGCAACACTGGTGAAATGTTATGGTGACTGCCTTTCCCCTCACACCCAGTCTTCCCAATGTCTGCTGGAATTTTTGCCACCATGTTGAGTATTCACCCCAAAATTATAAAAAGCCAAGGAAATAACAGGAAGGATTAAGAAAAAGCTAGATTCTTTTGCCCTAACCTAGGAATCTATCTGTAGAATAATCAGCCTCAGCTTCCTTTATAGTCAAAGAGGAGGAATAACCACCTCATTTTAAGGCATGTATATCAGGTCAGTTGACTCCATTCTGGAGGTTTCTATTTCTCCCAGTTTTCTCCAAACAGAGGCTAGGGATACTCATTCAAATATAGATAATTGTGTTTTAGATGTTTGAAGTTATACAGTGTGAATTCTATCTAGCAGTTGGTTCCTGCACCTCCCAGGTCTTCTTCCTTTTGTATGTCGTATGTCAATATTACCAGCCTAATTGCTGTACACTGAAGAAAATTAAGATTGTATCTGTAACAAAATGAAGGGTGGTCTTGCTACAAAGATCCTTCCCATGGTCCATCATGCTGGCTGTGTCATTTACACAGCTCCTTCTCTTCCTTCTTCCTACCTCATCCACAGTCTTGAAAAATTGCTTACAATGCAGTCTAAAGGAACTTCCAAATATATCAAGCAGTCTAGCTGTTTTTTCCTAATCTACCATTGTTATCCTTGCCCTTGATGCCCAGTGAAGAACATTTTTAGCTGGCTCTGTCTTTGTACTGGTTTTCTTCACGTTAATAAATAGCATATGGCTGCAATGCCAAAATCCAAAACACATGTCCAAATTATCTAAGCATAAAATACAACCTATACAGACAGTGAAAATACGTTTATGTATATATATATATATGTAATCTATATGTGTAGTCCCAAGAGCCAAATGCACTTGATTATTCTCTATTGTTGTTCAGAAACTATAGAGGAAGATTTATTTTATTTTACCCCTTTCAGATTGATGAATGGAACCTTCATAGACCTTAAACTGAAAACTGTGTTACAGAGTGAATTGGACTTTACTTTTATCATGTTTCACAGCTAAGTAAAATGAAGACCATTTGTAAGTCCTAGTGGCACATCTGTGTTGTGAATCAAGTGAAGAAGCTTGTATTATATCTATCCTCTGTACTGCTTCTGAACAAAATGTCAAAGCCTGAATTCCAGCTTCATTCTCTCTGCTGTCAGTTGCCTTCGAAGCAATTGACCTTAGTTGTCTTCTGGAGATTTTCTTCTCCTTTGGTTCTTCCCAGTGTACTATTTGCCAGATATTCTTCATCCTCCATCTCCCCAACCTGTTTTCTATGTGGCACACTGAAGTTTGCATCTTTCTTTCTTCCTATGCTATTTCTTTCCCAAATATATATTTAACTAGATAGTGCTTATCATTTGCACAGCTGTCTGTCCAAAGCTTCTGCTATCCAAATGAAAATCTCTGATATCTCTCTGAAAGTTGCCAGCCAGACATTGAGATGTCAAGCTCAGTATTGTAAAACAATACCCTTAATCTTCCTCTGACTGTTCTATCCTTTTTATATATAGCCTTGATGTCTTTTGAAAGCTTTCTTATCTTGCCAGTTCCTCAAGCTCTTCATCTGGAACTCATCTTTTTCTAAACATGTATCTAGCTAGATCTAGCCAATGCATATGACTTGTAAACTTATTCTGTGTCTTAATACTTTGAAATCAGTTGCAAGAACATCTATTCTTTGACCTTGCAATTTGTCCTGCTTCAGAAATCCCACCTGAAACAATGATACTTTTTCTTCATCCATCACTTCAGCTATGACTGTACTAAGAAATATGCATTACCTAGCATATGCCAGCCTTTTTTTCCCCACAAAAACAACCTGTCTTTCCTCCTAACTCTCAGTATTAAAAAATCAAAACCAACCTTCAGCTAGCACAGTGTCATGTTTTGGTTGAATCTCTTCTTAATCACGTTTTTTTTTTTTTTTTAATAGTTCTCGTCTACCCAAAGACGATGTCTACATGGTTGTATGACTGAGCCCTTGATGCCAGCTCATGCATGACATGTTTGTAACACATCAAATTTGTATCTACATCTGGTGTAACTGTGCCTCTCAAGTTCCTGCATGCTGGTTCAGTCCAGTGTCATGATACACCATGGAGCCCAGTAATGACCAATCAAGAGAGGTTCAGAGCAGCTTCCTCAACTCCCTTATGTTCATACCAACAATATGAGTATTTCTAGCACCATTAAGTCAAGAAGATGGCTTAGATCTTTGTTTTTTACTCAATATAAAAAAAAGTAAGGAACACTTACAAAGTCAATCACCCCATGTCAGCAAGGAGGTGGACACCAAGGAAACGAAAGCCAACCATATCCTGGGCTGCAAAAAAACTAACATGGCCAGCAGGTCGAGGGAGGGGATTCTGCCCCTCTACTCCACTCTGGTGGGACCCCACCTGGAGTCCTGCATCCAGCTCTGGAGCCCTCAGCACAGGAAAGACATGGACCTGTTGGAGCAGGTCCAGAGGAGGGCCACCGAAATGATCAGAGGGATGGAACACCTCTCCTGTGAGGACAGGCTGAGAGAATTGGGATGGAGACAGACTTTTTAGCAGGGCCTGTAGCAATAGGACAAGGGGTAATGGTTTTTAACTAAAAGAGGGTAGATTTCAACTAGATCTAAGGAAGAAAATTTTGACAATGAGGGAGGTGAACCGCTGGCAGAGGTTGCCCAGAGAGGTGGTAGATGCCCCATCCCTGGAAACATTCCAGGTGAGGTTGGACGGGGCTCTGAGCAACCTGATCTAGTTGAAGATGTCCCTGCTCATTGCAGGGGGATTGGACTAGATGACCTTTAAATGTCCCTTCCAACCCACCTGAATTCTATGATTCTACGGTAAGTTCAGGTGTTTTTTGTCAATCTCTGTGACCTTATGCTGAGAGGATTTATAAATAATCTCGATGGTTGTCCAGGAGGCACTGCACTCATGCTGGGATTCACCAGTGAGAGATGGCAGTTTCTCTCAAGATATATGAACCATATGAGTGCTTTCAGTCTGCTTCAGAACAAAAGCCACGCAGATGACATTGAACGGAAGGTGGGTTAGACTAACCTGGTTGAAATGGAGTATGTACACTCACAAGATCAGTTACTTCTGGGAGCAAGTTTAAGAAGCTGCCATTCTAATATCAGTTTTTGCCTTTCAGGCACTTCAGATGTGGTTCTTGACTATTTAAGTGTGCCTGCTCAGTTTTGAGTTGAAGTCACACAAATTAACTAAAACAGCCTTCAGCAATGATTTTCACTCTTGTCAGAGAGTGTTGATTCATGGATGCAGATGGATGAAAGTCAATGCGACTGAAGCAGTTACTACTCCCAGATGTCTGCCCTGGTCCTCTGTGGAGATTGCCACTCCATGACCAAGGAGAGCTACAGATGTTAGGAAGCAATTCTTCAAACCACGGCAGCTTTCATTGTGCCTTGCTAAGTCTTCTGGCACTGGTTCCAGGTTCCCTCACTGCTCAAGGCTATAAATTTGGGGTTTTCAAGAGCTGCTTCAGATTTTTTTCACCTCTTCCTGACATTGGGTAGTAGTTTGCAGACAGGAGGCTGCCAATAGCTGAGGTTATTAACAGCATCAGCTGTCAAACAGCTGTTCTCACCCTGAAACAGACTGGAAGGGCTCATGGGCAATCACTGCTTCTCCTCTGGGAAACAGGACCGGAGGGTGGATATGAGGCTTTGTGTCAGACACTGCTGTGTTGGAAGCATGCTGGACTTCCCCTTCCTGAGCAGTGGTGGAGCACACCTGCATCAAGGACACATGGGGGAAGGTGCTGGTGCAGCCTTGAGATCACTCTGGAGTCTCCGTAGGGCTTTCCCTGTGGCACCTGAGCTCTAGTAAATGTTATAAGCAAACCACACACTATCAAATGTCATAATGAAGATAACTGATTAAGATCAATCTCTTTAATTGCATTATGGACTTACTTACACTCTCCAAAGGAAATGCTGTGGAATTATGAATTTGGCAGTCAGATTTCTACATTATTTTGAAAGTTATAACAAAGTATTTGCAAGTAGACTTCCCTGTCTGTCTGCAGGAGAAGCAGATAAATGTTATTTTATTCTGAGTGGTTTATGAAATGAGTGCTCCTGAAGAGCTGAGCTTCATGCAGTATAGTCTCAGGTGGGTGTGGGTTAATCATAAGAGCAAGATAAAAGATGTCCTGCTTAAGTCAAATCTCTTTTTTCTGTCATTCTTATTACATGAAGGCCTGTAAATCTCTAGCCATAAGGCCGGCCAGGTGTGCATATGGAAAGAGAACTTAGGCTGTCATTTTTAACAGAGTTGAAGACACTTAGGTGCTATTGAAATGCAGTTTACTGTTCATTAAACCCTCAGTAATTGTTGTTTTCCATAAATTAATATTTATTATCTGTGTTGTAGTAATAACAGGTGCATTTTTCAAGCAAAAGGTTTTGCTCTGTTAGGTGCAGGAGATGATGCCTGAAGAAGACTTTAGTTGAATGCTAGCACACAAAAAAATGGATCCACTTGTATATTTGTAATTAAGATTTTTTTCAAATTTTTTTTTGCCTTTGAAGGACAGGTAAAATGTGAAAATTAAAAATAAAAACCATCTCCAGTAGATTGTTCTGTTGAATACATTTCTGAAACGTAGCTGATAGGACCAATGCAGTACTGCATAGCTTTTACAACAGTTAGTTGGTCTCAGGTAATACACAACCTCTAAACTGCAGCAGTTTTCTTTCCAGAAGTTTGCGGGGGTTTTTTCTCTTCCTTTTACTTATATTCCCCTCCTGGATGACTGTTCTTATTTTAGTTAATTTCTCTCTCTCTTTATTAATACCCGTCTGTCACAAGGGTTCCTTGGCTGAATAAAAACCAAAGGCATCGGTAAGCTTCCATGCTACAATATTTAGAGCATCACAAATCACGGTCATATCATGAAACACATTTGAGCGTTTCCTTATGCCCCTTGGTTGAAAAAGGCTGCTTGGAAATACGTCTGCACTTTAATCCTTGGGAACATACATCAGTAAACCAGGGACATGAACTATAAAAATTCTTAATGGAAAGTAAATGTTATAAAATTGATGTTTCATAAAAATAAGTTGTTGCAAAAGTAAATGTGGAATTCCTTCAGAGGGACTTTTTTTGAGGCAGTTATCTGTGTCTAACAGAAGTTAAAGAGCTGATAGCAAAGATACTATTGAGAGTTGCCTTCCTTTTCCTTTAATCCAGGCATACTGTGGTTGTTTCAGCTTGAGTGCCCTCCTTCCTAACCCTGTGACAGCTGGAAGGAGCACTATTAAGCACAAGGATTTTTTTTTTGTATGATGGTGGCATGTAGGGGAGATGATTACGAATGAGACTCCCACTGAGACAAGCATGCAGGAAGGCCCACCAGTCTTTCAAAGAAAGACTCATTTGTTTCTTATTTAGGTGCTTGGCTTTGTAGAGAATGCAAACAAGGAAAATTTAGACCTAAGGAGTTTGCTTCAAGTTTCACTTTTTTAAATAGGTTTTTAAAATAAACCCATGTGTTAATACAGGAGAAGAATGTATAGCTTGCTACACAGATATCTTGTTTGTTGATGAAAAAAAAAAACCAAAACAACCAGAGGGGCAACTTTTTATTAAAGTGTTTGGGTAGTTTTCTAGAATTTTTTAATTATCAATGACATTAAAGTTTAGGTTGTATTAGTCATATAGTCACGAAGTTATGATAAGAACTCTTTACATAAAGCTGAGAAAAAGTGAGTTGTATAGCCAACAGAATTTATATGCGCCTGTATTAGAAAGGATAGCTAGGAAATAAATAAAAATTAACTTGGAGACATCGAGCATGAAAGCATGAGTGTATGGAGGCTTCTGAAAAATTGTATTTTTTTTAAATACCACTTTGCCAATCTCTGGTAAGATACGCCTGGCAAACACTGCTTTCAAGTCAACAGTGAGGAGTGTTGACTCTCCCTATTGATATATGCTTCAATGAAACTTGGATTATTTTAGTGTGATGGTCAGAAACAAGCCTAGAAAAAATAACTTGTTGATTGTACCACAAACACACCATCTGTGCTAGGGCATCTGAAACTAAAGCTATTTTAAAACAAAATATTTTCAAAATCTGGACTTCTTATGTGGTTATATTGATAGAAAGAATTCCTTTGCAACGATTTATTGATAAGCTAAGTTACTACTGGAATTGGTGAAAATATGTTGAAAAGTCTGTTGGATGGTATAGCTGCAAACTCATACATCATTTGCCTTAATCTCAGGTGAGAAAGGAAATATCTTACTGATTGCGTCAGTAAGTCTCCTGTGTTGTATCTCACAGCTCCCAACCCACCCACCATTCGAGAAGAACTCTGTACAGCTTCTTATGATACCATCACTGTCCACTGGACGTCGGATGATGAGTTCAGCGTGGTCTCTTATGAGCTGCAGTACACCATCTTCACTGGACAAGCTAATGTTGTTAGTAAGTATAAACCTTCTCTTTTCTAGTTCCGTTTCCTTATGGTTTCTCTGTAAACCAAGTGCCTTTAAATATAAATGTACTCACATGCCAAGAACAAAAGGAAAAAATATTTTCTAGGAATATTTAAGGCCAAAATTTTAAATGCAAAACAATAACAATTTTGGAGGTTTTTAAAATTCAGAATTCATTCTTGTGTGTTTTCTGTGAATCCCATGTAGTGAGAGCTTTTGAAGCCAACACATATTCCAAAAGGCACAAGTACTATTCATTTTAACAGGACTCACAGAATCATGGAATTATAGAAAAGTAGGGTTGGAAGGGAGCTTTAAAGGCCATCTAGTCCAACCCCCCTGCAATGAGCAGGATCATATTCAACTAGCCCAGGTTGCTTAGAGCCCCGTCCAACCTGACCTGGAATGTTTCCAGGGATGGGGCATCTGCCACCTCTCTGGGCAACTTGGGCCAGGGTTTCACCACCCTCATTGTGAAACATTTTTTTGTCCTGTCCAATCTAAATCCCCCCTCTTTCAGTTAAAAACCATTACCCCTTGTCCTATCACTACAGGCCCTGCTAAAAAGTCTGTCCCCATCTTTCCTGTAAGCCCCCTTTAAATACTGGCAGGCTGCAGTTAGGTCTCCCTGGAGCCTTCTCTTCTCCAGGCTGAACAGCCCCAATTCTCTCAGCCTGGCCTCACAGGAGAGCTGTTCCATCCCTCTGATCATTTTTGTGTCCCTCCTCTGGACCCGCTCCAACAGGTCCATGTCTTTCCTGTGCTGAGGGCTCCAGAGCTGGATGCAGGACTCCAGGTGGGGTCCCACCAGAGCAGAGTAGAGGGGCAGAATCCCCTCCCTTGCTTGACCTGCTGACCACACTGCTTTGGATGCAGCCTAGGACACGGTTGGCCTTCTGGGCTGCGAGTGCACATTGCCAGTTCATGTCCAGCTTTTCATCCACCACCAAGTACCCCCAAGTCCTTCTCAGCAGGGCTGCTCTCAATCCCTCCATCCCCCAGCCTGTACTGATACCTGGGGTTGCCCCAACCCAGGTGCAGGACCTTGCACTTGGCCTTGTTGAACTCCATGATGTTCACACAGGCCCATTTCTCAACTGTCTCTTGTATCTTGGTGCAGATGTAGCCACAGGGACGAAGACATTATTTCTGTTGTCTGGGCTAGTCAGGCACTTGGGAGCCTGTGTTGAAGTGGTCATTAGTTAGAACCGCAGCCCCATTATCATTAGATACCCTTGACAACTGGCCCTTTGTCAGAAATACAGGTTAAGTCCTTCCCTCTGATTTTTACTGTCTTCAGGGCTACAAAGCATAGGTCTCAGTTAGTATACTGAAGGCTAGGGCAACAAACAGTGGAAGAACTATTAATATAGTAATTTTGTTTGACTTATAATGATGTCAACTATCATTGCTTTATATTTTGTATTGTAGCACATTTTTTATTAAATACTCCCTCTGTTTTGAATCTGTGACTTTCCTGAATGAACAAGCTTACTGATTATTCCTCAGATTGTTTTTTTTGTTAAATAACTATTCCTCTGAGAAAACTATATTGTCTAACCTTTGGCCAGGAAGTCAACACTTCTGGCTTCAGTGCATAGCAATCATTGATTATGAATTCAGAGAGGTCATTTAACTTCTTCCTGTTCCCTGTATGTTTAATGACAATACCACTAGGGAACATGTACTTGCGTTATGAAACTGAAGGATTCTTAAATCAATCAAAAGATGGAGTTTGTTCAGTCAACATGTATTTAAATTGGAACTCATTGCCACAGAGGGTTGTTGATTAAAAGTCTGAGTTCAAAAGATGACTGGACAGATCATGCAAGAAAAATCCACTGAGAACAATATAGTGCATAGACTTCCTCCTGGCTCAGGAAGTCCCTGAGCTGTAAGCTTCTGGAGTATGGGAGAGTGTGGTGAGCAATGACTGCTGTGCACTTTCCCTGTGCCTTAACACCTCCCTATGCTCTTGCTTTTGTGCACCATCAGACACCCTGGGTATGCACTGAGCAAGGTACGCTTAGCTCTGACCCAGTGCAGAAGTGATGTTGTTCTTACAAAAAATGGAAAACCAGTATGGTCTATACCAAGTCTCAGTACTGAGCCAAACTCTTGCACTGGCTCATCTTGGTGTGAGCACCTCTTTTTCTCCATCACAAAAGTGGAGTTAGTCCTCCAAGTCTTCTGAAAGGATATCTGAGGTTTCATGCACTGGCATTTTAAAACCATTTTTAAGTAGCATACTGTGAGTATATCACGGTATCCAGGATTGACTGAAAAATCAGGTGGGCTATTGAAAATTTGATTAGTGTTTTGCTGAAGCCTCCATTTAGTATTTCACTAAACAGCCTCATTTTGGACAATACACTGTAAAATTTAAGACTGCAGAAAAGACCAAGCAACCTTCCACACATGCTCCTACATCTGAGCAAGCTGGATACCAAAAAGTTCTAATAGTATTTTGGAACAAATTGGAACATGGTAGGTAAGGGAAGACAGGCTTCCCTAATTAATCACTACAGCGTAGACAAGTCTTAATGATAACACAGTATGATGCTTGTTTTCTGACCCATTTTCATCCACGGCTTTGTGCTAGAAGGCTTTATGCAAGTCAGTTATTGGCACCACGTGTGAACACAGCCGCAGAAAGGTGTGCCATTTCCACACCTTTGTGTTGTGGGGTTTTACTCTTTGCTTACTAGTGAATAAATAACAAGGTATTTCATTTTTAGGCAGTATTGCAGTTTTCCCACGTGAAGGCAAAAGCTTTGATCTGCAAAACATGTATCAATTAGTCTACTTTCAGAGATGCAATATGATAATTTTTGGGTATAGCATGAAGCGCTCAGTGTGAAGTCTGAACTTTCATTTTACCACTTAGCAAAAATGGTGTCATTAAAAGTTTGGAGAGGAAACAAATCAACATTATAAAAAACATTGTTTACAAAATGTTCTGAAGACCTTAAATGACAGTAGAAAAAAATGAAAGAACTGGAGCTTTTTCCTTTCCTTTTTTTTTTTTTTTTTTGAATACATTAGCTTTTACACAAATATCCTGGCTGTTAGTTTCAATTTAATTGAAAGCTGTAGTGTTAACCCAAATTAATATACATTCATATATAAGTATATGTGGAGGGGCTTTCTAAATGTTGTAAATCTTTTTTTTAATCTTGTTATTATTTAATGTAGACTTGAACACCTCCAATGGAGATGTTCCTGCCAAATCTAACTGCTACAAATCTGCCCAGGTTTCTAACACATGGAACTCTCTCAGTTCATTACCACTTCCACTGATATGGGAGATTTGCCCACTAACATCCTGATTTTACTCAGAACACTGCTTGGACACTGCGCGTCCAAAGAAGGGCAACGAAGCTGATGAGGGGTCTGGAGCACAAGTCTTATGAGGAGCGGCTGAGGGAACTGGGGTTGTTTAGTTTGGAGAAGAGGAGGCTGAGGGGAGACCTTATCGCTCTCTACAACTACCTGAAAGGGGGTCGTGGTGATGTGGGTGTTGGTGTCTTCTCCCAAGTAACTAGTGATAGAATGAGAGGAAATGGCCTCAAGTTGCGCCAGGGAAGGTTTAGATTGGATATTAGGAAAAATTTCTTCACCAAGAGGGTGGTCAAGCATTGGAAGAGGCTGCCCAGGGAGGTGGTGGAGTCACCATCTCTGGAAGTGTTCAAAAAACGTGTGAATGCGGCGCTTCAGGACATGGTTTAGAGGACACGGTGGCGCTGGATTAATGGTTGGACTTGATGATCTTGAAGGTCCTTTCCAACCTTAGTGATTCTGTGATTCTGTGACATTTCTTCGCTTTGTCGCATTATATTCTTTGTCCTGCAGAAGGGCCAAATATCCCAACTTCTATAGATGAATTTCCAAGATTGTCCCTAGAATATTGGGTGTACCTTAATAGCATTGTATAACAGAGAGCTATTGTCACTGCAAGTGGCACTGCACTGCAGCCTTCATGTTTTGATGATCTGAAGCTAGGTGATCTTTTTTTTTTAATCCTCTTTTAATGGAATAGATTTTGGATTAGCACAAATTTCTTTCCGTTTATGGCATTTGCATGCTGTTGCATGCAATTATTTTTTTAATTTATTTCTCTCTCACATCCCAAAAAGTTTCCATTGGTATTGTGTGTTGCCTGTAGCAGATAATGTAAACAGGTACATCAATCGTCTTCAGTCCTATGTTTTGGTACCTAGGAATTAGTCACGAGGGAGTAGCCAGAGTACTGCATTAAACCAACAAGCCTTTTTCCCCTGAGACAACAGGAATCACTTTGCATACGTACCCACCTACCGTGCTAATGGAGGTTGTTACTGTGGAATCCATTTCTTAAAACCACATAGACAGACTGACTGCACTTTCCACTCCTCAGTACATTTCCCCCACCAGAGGCATATATCATTCAGAGATTGCTAAGAATTCAGTAACAAAAACAAGCAATGCTATGTTTTTCTAGTATATTTTCTATCCAACATAATCAACTATATTCTTTTTTATTAACTGAAAAATCGGAGAGCTAACATTTGATGGAAAAAGTCCAAACAGAGTATTTAATTTTGAATCCTATTTCATACAGGAAAGATTATTTCCAAATGTGGTCAAACTGCTTGGCTCTTAAATGCTAGCAGCCCTGTTCTGTGCATAAGAGCAATACAGAACTTTAAATTAAGCAGGGTTTTACTAAACCGTTGTTCTCAGAGTTACACCATTCACACATTTGCATTTCTGAGAGGCAGCCTGCAATCTGAATATTGTAAAGGCTCTTAAAATGACTTTGTCACTAGCTAGTTAACATGCATTATAATTTCATTATCCCATTTCAATAAATTTTCAAGTATTTATTGCATACACAGTTCCTTTGACATCATGGAATTGCTTTATTGCACTTCAGGAAGGTTGAAACTTAAAACCCCGCTTTTCACTTGCTGCAATACAGGGTGTCTTCATGAAAAACACATCTCTCTCTTCAAGGCAAAAATCAGTAAATAATT